CGCACGCGCCGCGTTTGTCCAGTCTCCCTTTTGTGGGTTTATGACTCTGGCCGTCGGGGCCAGAGGGGTTGTCTAAATCTACAACCTCGCCCACTAATTTTATCTGGCGCTACTTGCGCGGACCAGCTCGCTCATTGCAGGTTGGCCAGCAGCTGTCCCACGGTAGTGCGTTGCCTCTTCCTCCCTTTCCTCTTCCTCCTTTCCCCTCTTCCTCTGCAACTTGTCCGAGCAATAATTGTCACAGGTGGTTATTCTGGATGGCTTTTGTTGATCTGGTGGGCAAGATTTGTCCGCTTGGGCCTGCGCCGGCAGCAAGCAGCTCCAGAGTCGATGCGGTCGGAGCTTCGCGTTCTCCAATCTCCGCATTCCAGAGGAAGCCGTGCGCGAAGCAGCTCTTGCAGCCTCACCAGAGGCGACCCGTGGCCCTCCCCGAGGGCCGAACGTACTGCATAATATTTTCCATGACTGCTGGCCAGCGGAAGCCCTGCGAAGACCATAGGGACATCTTCCCATCCTCTACCACCTTTGCCACGCGCTGCCTTTTGCTGCTTATTCTGCTGCCCACGTCTGATCGGGGAGCTGCAGGGACGAGACTGGTTGTGTGTTCATAAGGGGTGTTCCAAAAAGGGCCTAGCCTTCGAAGGTAGAAGGGGTTGCCATCTACTCCGCGGCGGAAGGCGGCGGAATTAGAACGAGAGCGGTTCCGCCAGCCGAAGCCGGCGGAAGGCTGGCGGAAGGCGCTTCCAAAAGATGGCAGCATAACATTTGTGGGTTCAGGGTTTCCGAAATCGGCCGCATGTCGGTGGAGGATGGGGACGAGAGACACGCGGGCGGGAGGCCCAGCAGACCTGCCCCTCCACCGAATAGTAGGCCTGCCAGCGTCGACTGTGCCAACCAACAGCAGCAAGCTCAGACAGCACCGTGCTACACTTAGCCGCCTGCGTTTGGGCGACGCAAAGCCGGCCGCATAAGCTCGCGCGTAAGCGTTTTCGCTGCCGATGTGGCGTGCCGCGCTAGCGGCCCGCGTAAGCCGCCGCGTAAGGTTGCTACGTCACCTCGCGTAATACCCATTTTTGACTGTCGCCCATTTGAGTTATTGCAGCTATCCAGCCCGAAGCGGTCCTTTACGATGCTGCAGCGACCATGTTGGCCTTCGGCAGGGGGGGGAGCCTTAGGCCCCTTGCCGTGGGCTGCCGAGCAGCAGTCAACGCCTGCCCAACCGGCCTTTTAACCTGTATGCAGACAACCCGTTTCTACAGTCAGTTGACGCCTGCCTTTCCAGCCCTTTTCAGCTTCCAGCCAGCCCGCGCTGCAACAGCGTGGCTAAGCCGTGCTTTCGGCGGTGGAGGTTGGAGGGCGGGGTGGGGTCTACGAAAGTGGTCGGAGGGCGGCCTGCAAGTACATGGCGTACCAGCCTCATCCTTGCAATGCTGCCCAGACCAAACAAAAGGCCAGCCAGCACAGACCGCGCCAGACTACAGCAGATTCAGCGTGCCAGCTAGCTACACCACAACATACCAGTTGCCAGCTGCCGCCCGCTCCTTTCCATCAGTTGCTTAACTATCCTTGCGGACCTCAGTACGCATGCTCTGCGCCCTCGAGGGCAACCATGCTTTCCCACTTTTCATTGCCAGTCCTATCCTCGCTGCGTGTCGAGGTTTTTGTGTTTGTCATTCTGCCTTCGTCGGATTCCTTCTGGGCATTCGCCACACGAACGCAGCAGTCCTGTCGCGTATGTTTGCCTGGCGCAAAATGAGCGAGGAAAGGGAGGAGGAGGAGGAGGAGGAGGAGGATTAGGAGGAAGAGGAGGGGGAGGCGGAGGAGGAGGAGGAGGAGGAGGAGGAGGAGAAAAAGGAGGGATGGTGGGAGGCTGAGGAGGAGGAGGGGAGGGGAGGAGGAAGAGAGGAAAGAGGATAGAGGAGGTTGATGGAGGGAGGGGAGGAAAGGAGGAGGAGATGAGAAGGAGGGGGAGGAGGAGGGGACAGGAGGAGGAGGGCGGAAGAAGAGGAGGAGGGAGGCGGAGGAGGAGGTGAGGAGGGAAGAGGCAAGGAGAAGGAGGAGGAGGAGGAGGAGGAAGATTAGAGGAGGGGGGGAGGCGGAGGAGGAGGAGGAGGAGGAGGAAGAGGAGGAGGCGGAGGGGGAAGGGGAGGAAGCAGGAGGAGGAGGAGGCGGAGGAGGAGGAGGAGGAGGTTAGGGGGAGGAGGAGAGGAGGAGGAGGAGGTGTGAGGAGGCGGAGGAGGAGAGGAGGCAGGAGGAGGAGGAAGAGGAAGAGGAGGAGGAGGAGGAGGAGGAGGAGGAAGAGGAGGAAGAGGAGGAGGAGGATTACGCTGTAAGGATTACGCAGTGTGGCCGTCCACGCGGCACAGCTCGCAGCTCGGCATCGCAGCACCAAGGGGAAAGTCGAAACCAACACCAAGACCCTGGTGCCGAGAGAGCCGTCTTCAGATTCATCCAGCGTGCTCCGGAAACGCTCTGCCGGAGCACGCTGGCACGCAAGGAATTCTCAGGCGCATCTCACGCCAAATTTGGCGGGCACGGATCGTCCTCGTCCGCGCCGCCGAAAAGCCACTCTGCTGCCTCGTCCTCTGGGTCGAGGGGCCTTGCCACAGGCTGGGAGGAGTCGCCAGGAATCACCGTGGGAGCACCGTCCTGAGCTCTCGACGAAGCCACAGCCGATGGGGCAGGTCCTCGGGCCCCAGGGTCCCCAGCCACAGTCGCTTTGGCTACCTCTACAGCACAAACGCGCGCATGCAACGCCTCGAGGACCGATTTAGGAGGGCCCTCGCGGCGTGGGTACTGGTCTCGCCTGATGCGAGCTAAATTCTCGGCTCCTTTCCGTGATCTCCCAAGGCATCTGGCCTCGAGATGTCTGAAATCTTCCGTCGCATACCTACCGCATTCGTGGCAGAACACCATGCAATACTTGGGCCACCTCCTCCTCCTCCTCCTCCAGTTGGGAGGAGGAGGAGGAGGAGGAGGAGGAGGAGGAGGAGAGGAGGAGGAGGAAGAGAGGAGGAGGAGGGGGGGAGGAGGAGGAGCGAGGAGGAGGAGGACGGGAGGAGGGAGAGACGAGAGAGGAAGGAAGGGAGGAGGAGGAGAGGAGGAGGAGGAGGAGGAGGGGACAGGAGGGAGGGGCGGAAGAAGAGGAGGAGGAGGCGGAGGAGGAGGTGGAGAAGTAGGGAAGAGGGAGGAGGAGGAGGAGGAGGAGGAGGAGGAGGAGGAGGAGGAGGAGGAGGAGAGCAGGGCAGGAGGGTGGGGAGGAGCAGGTGCGGAGGGAGGAAGGAGGAGCGGGAAGGCGAGGGGTGAAGAAGTCGACAAAGATAAAGAGACGAGGAGGAGGAGGAGAGGAGGAGGAGGAGGAGGAGGAGGAGGAAGAGGAAGAAGAAGTAGGAGGTCGAGGGGGGGCAGGTAAGGAGGAGAGAGGAAGATGGGGCAGGAGGATTAAGTGGAGAAGACGAAGGAGGAGAGGCAGCTGGTGAAAGATGAGGAACCCGACGGGTCGCTGCTCATCTCCCTGTGCTCTCTTCTGACTCTGGGAAGGCCACGCTCCCTAAGCACCCCGAGGGTCACGCTCCAACCGGCCCTGGGACCTCAGGAGGACAGCAAGAGAAGTGCGATGTCTGCTTGATAAGCTCATCCCGCTCACTGCTCCCTGCTTCTCCAGCGTCACCTCCAACAGATCCCGTCTGAACGCTGGCCATGGACTCCTGCCAGCCCCCTGCCCCCGCAGTGCCACCATCGACGCTTCGAGCGTCCCCCGTCAGAGACGGTGCCCGGGCGAGTTGCCCTGCTTTGCGGAGGTGCACGGGCGAGCAGTGGAACGGAAAGGGGGGGCAGCCGTCGAACCGAAGCTCGGGAGGAGTCTGGGCAGGCAAACCGGAGGCAGTCACACATACGTGCGCAGGACCTCCGGTCCTGGCGCCTGATGGAAGTTGGTTCGGGCCATCGTGGGCCCCTTTGGGGCAACTTCGAAAGCCGCTGGGGCTCTCTTGGGGCCCTTTCGGGTGTGTGTTTTTGTTGGAAGCGTTCGGAGCCCTCTTGGGGTCCTCTTGGGGGCCTTGGGGGGCTCTCTTGGGCTCATGCTAGAGGCCATCTGTCACAAAAAGGGCTTTTAGATTAGGGCTGCCCATCTGTGCTCCGAAAGATCGCATCTTGGGGCCCTCTTATCTTGGGGCCCTCTTAGGACCCTCGTGGGGCGCTCTGGAGGCCATCTTGGACTTCCTTCTGGGCCTCTCTTGGGGCTTTCTTGGCTGATCTTGGGGGCGTCTTGAGGCCACAGAAGGCAGCAGAAGCGAAACGATGGGAAGCCAAGAAGCAGTGAGCACCCTTCGGTCTTTAAAGGATTCTGGCCTCTCTGGGGTCTCCTTTGGACGCTCCGTGGTCACTTGGAGCCGTCGTGGGGTGGTCCTGCGGGCCTCTTGGAGTCATATTGAATGGGGATTGAGCCACATTTGGCCATCATGTGACATCTCGCAGGCCGTCTTGGTCTACCTGAGGTCAGTTTGGAGCCATCTTGACGCCAACTTCGGCGCTCTAAACCTTCTCGTGCCCCCCCATCCAGACCCAGGGAGGGGGGAGGGGGAGGGGTAAACCACTCCCCGAAGGAGAAACAGAACACGAAGAAGACACACAATAACAATACTACTACGAAGAAGACGAAGAAGAGGACGAATATTAATAGAACTACTAATAATAAGAATACTAATAATCATAATGACAAGCTCTCCGAAACACCTAGGTGGCTACGGCGGTAACAGCGGAAATTGCTGCCGAGCTCCATCCTTTTCGTCATGTCGGTCGGTGATTTCGGTCAACTCATTCGGTTTTCGGCGAGACCCTGGCGGCCCGAGCAGGCCAGAACGAACCACGCGCGGTCCCCCCCCCCCCCCCTCGCTTCTCCGAGCGCCACCGAATCTTCGAGAGCTTTGCTCCTGGCGCGCGGCCGCAGCTGGTTTCTGGCATCCGGCTGGCCCCCTGCAAGGGGGGGTCCGTCGGCTAACATGCTGAAGCAGAGCCTGGAGGACGAGACCGCCAACAACGAGAAGGACCTCGCCAACGAGAAGTCCAGCAAGGCTGCCTCCCTCGAGGAGAGCGCAACCTCCTTCTCCCCCTCCTCTTCGCTTCTCCATCCTCCTTCCACCCTCCTCCCACCTCCTCCCTTCTCACTCCTCATCCCTTCATCCTCAACCTCCCTCCGCCCTCATCCCTTCACGCTCCTCCCTCCTTCCTCCTTCCCCTGCGCATCTCCCGCCCTCCTTCCTCCTCCTTCCTCCTCCTTCTCCTCCTCCTCCTCCGTTTCCTTTTCCTCCTCCTCCTCCTCCTCGTCCTCCTCCTCCTCCTCCTCATCATCATCATCAGCATCATCACCATCATTATCATCATCATCATCATCATCATCATCATCATCATCACCATCATCATCATCATCAGCATCATCATCATCACCAGCATCACCATCATCATTCGCACGCTTCCTCCCTTAGGAGAACGCCAAGGCCACTGGCGACCTGGCGCAGACCAAGAAAGACATCGCCGACGGCGAGGCGGCGCTGCATACCGCGCAGACCTCGTGCATGACCACCGCCGCAGACCACGACGCCACGGTGGCCGCGAGGACGGAGGAGCTGAAGGTGATCGCAGAGGCGAAGGATCTCGACCTCTCCTCCAGGAGGAGACGGAGGAGAGGGAGAATGAGGACGAGGTGGATGGTGATGATGGTGGTGATGACGATGCTGGTGGCAGCGATGATGGCGTTGGTGGTTGCGATGGAGACAATGGTGGTGGCGTCGGTGAAGTTCATGAGTGTGCGGATGATGCTGTTGCTGTTGTTGCTGCCGTTGTTGGCGTTGATGATGACGGTGGTCATACAGGTGGTGTTGATGATGGTGAGACGGGTGTTGATGATGATGATGATGATGACGATTCTGGTGATGGTGATGACGATGATGCTGATGATGATGCTGATGATGATGATGATATTGATGATGACCTCGATTCTGAGGATGCTGGCGATGATGATGGTGATGAGGGGGATGATGGTTCTACTCCTACAAATACTACTACTACTACTACTACAACTGCAACTACTACTACTACTAGTACTACTACTACTACTACTACTACTACTACTACTACTACTACTACTACTGCTGCTGCTGCTGCTACTACTACTACTACTACTACTACTACTACTACTACTGCGGCTTACTGAACTACTACTACTACTACTACTACTACTACTCTTACTACTACTACTATACTACTACGACTACTACTACTAACCCTACGACTACGACTACGACTACGACTACGACTGCTACTATTACTTCTACTACTATTATGTTACTACTACTACTACTACTACTACTGCTACTACTACTACTAACTACTACTACTACTACTACTACTACTACTACTACTACTACTACTACTACTACTACTACTACTACTACTACTACTACTACTACTACTACTACTACTACTACTACTACTACTACTACTACTACTTCCACTACTACTACTACTGCTACTACTACACTACTACTAAAACTACTAAAACTACTACTACTATTGTTATTACTACTACTACTACGACTACTACTACGACTACTACGACTACGACTACGATTACTACTACTATTCCTACTCCTGCTCCTACTCCTACTACTACTACTACTACTACTACTACTACTACTACGACTGCTACTGTTTTTATTACGATTGCTACTACTACTACTACTACTACTACTACTACTACTACTACTACTACTAACTACTACTACTAACTACTACTACTAACTACTACTACTACTACTACTAACTACTACTACTACTACTACTACTACTACTACTACTACTACTACTACTACTCACTACTACTACACAACTACTACTACTACTACTACTACTACTACTACTACTACTACTACTATACTACTACTAACTACTACTACTACTACACTACTAACTACTACTCTACTACTACTACTACTACTACTACTACTACTTACTACTACTACTACTACTCCTACTACTAACTACTACTACTACTATACTACTACTACTACTACTACTATACTACTACTACTACTACTACTACTACTACTACTACTACTACTACTACTACTACTACTACTACTACTACTACTACTACTACTACTACTACTACTACTACTACTACTACTACTACTAACTACTACTACTACTACTACTACTACTACTACTACTACTACTACTCCTACTACTTCTACTACTACTAATGACACTTAGGATGATGATGATGATGATGATGATGCTGATGATGATGATGATGATGATGGTAGTGGTCATGGTGATGTTGGTGTTGCTGCTGATGGTGATGATGATGCTGATGATGACGATGATGGTGATGCTGATTATTGTGATGGTGATGGCGATGCGTGTGATGGTGATGGTGGTGATGGTGACGATGATGCTGATGATGGTGATGATCCTGGCGATGACGATAATTTTGAGGATGATCATGCTGCTGATGGTGACGATGCTGATGACGATTATGATGATGATGGTGGTGGTAATGATGATGATGCTCATGATGATGATTATGATACCGAGTATGGTGATGATGATGACGATGATGTCGATGATGGTGGTGGCGATGATAATGTTGATGACCGTCATGATGATGACGATGATGACGATAATGATGCTGATGCTGATGCTGGTTGTACTGATGTTGATGATGATACTAATAATGATGATGGTGATGATGATGCTGATGTTCATGATGATTATGATGATGATGATGATGATGATGATGATGATGATGATGATGATGATGATGATGATGATGATGATGATGATGATGATGATGATGATGATGACTATGCTGATGAGGATGAGGATGAGGATGATGATGATGATGGTGGTCGTGGTGGTGGTCGTGGTGGTGGTGATGGTGATGGTGATGGTCATGGTGATGATGACTTGGATGGCAGAAGGGGGGACAGGCTAAGGTTGGGGGGGGACGGGCGGGATAAGGAAAGTATTTGTGGAGGACTGGTGGCGGGAGGAGTGGCGGGGGAAGGAGAAGATGGAGGTGGAAGGATTGGAGGTCGTGGGGCTGGGAAGGGCGTGGAGAGGAGGAGGAGGAGGACCATCACATGCTAATGGGGGAGGCTAGGGTTAGGCCGACCCGACCCTAACCGAAGCCTCAGGGTTACATCCGCTCTCCCCTTACGCATGCTTTCGTCACTGCGTCGCCCCTCCTTCCTTGAGGAGCTGGGCCGCAGGGATGGGCAGGGAAAGTCGGGGACGGGCCTTCATGCTACTCTTGGGATGACGGCCGCTTGCCAGGAGGAGGAGGAGGAGGAGGAGGAGGAGGAGGAGGAGGAGGAGGAGGAGGAGGAGGAGGAGGAGGAGGAGGAGGAGGAGGAGGAGGAGCAGCAGGGGGCGGAGGAGGAGGGGGAGGAGGAGGAGCAGGAGGAGGAGCTACAGCAGCAGCAGCAGGAGCAGAAGCACGAGCTGGAGGCCCGACAAGGCCACGCCTGCGTGGCCGCGAGGACCGCGTCCGCGGCGTGCCGCGCTGCCGCGTCCCAATATCTTCCGCGACGAACGGGATCGCCGGCACGTGGGATAGCGCGCTCGCTCCCTGAGCTCTGCAGTGGCGCCGGCGGCCCCGTCCCGCGTCGCGGCTCCGTTCGCCAGGGCGTCCTGCGACGCTGCGCTCACGGCCGTGAGGTCGATCAGGAGCGGCGCCGCCACGCCAGGCGCGTGGACCACCAGATCCAGGCGCGCCATGGGCTTTTGCGGCGAGGCATGCGGCAGCAAGGCCTCTCCGTGCACAGCGCAGCCGTGTTCCTCGCACCACTGTCCAAGCACCGCGCAGCCCGCGCCGTGCGGGCGGACGAGCCACCCGTCGACCGCGCAGCCCCGCGCGTGCCGCTCCTCCGCTGGTGGAGCGGGCCTGAGGCCTCGTCTCTCGGCAGGTGGGTCGAAACACCGACGAGCTCGCGGATGTTCAAAAGTCTTCAGACGATCGGATGGGCAGCCTTGCTGCCCAGGTGGATGAGCTGGGTGATGCTGTCGCCGCTGCCCACGGAGTCGCGCCCCGTTCACGGTCACCTTTGATGAGGGGCCCAAGGAGCTCCTCTGGAGTGCCGTCTTGTCGCTTTGGCAGGAAGTGCTGGCACCCTGACGTGCGGCAGGTGGACGACGCGGGGCCAGTGGCTGCGGCCACCGCCGTTGGCTCGGGCCCGCGTCGGTTCGACCCGTCAGCGAGCCCGATCGACTACTGCCGTTTCGAAGAGATCGCTGATATGATGGAGGCTGACGACCATCACGATTCGTTGCTGGCGGAATGGTTTGGTAGTGAGGGCAGGTCGGCGACCCGCCAGAGCCCGACATCGATTGACCCTGCAAGCTACTTGTCTTCAACCCCGTTATCTCTTGTAATCGTTTCGCCCTGACTCCTACGCGATGCCGCTCCTCCTTCTTGTTTACGCTGGCTACATTCTTCACTATTTCTTTTGGTTCGTCTCCTCCACATTCGGCATGTGTGGTGGACCTAACCCCCCTACGGGTCTCAGTCGGCACCCATGCTCTCTGTGACGTTCCAACCTCCTCCTCCTCCTCCTCCTTCCTCCTCCTCTGCTTCTGTGCTCCTCCGCATCATATTATCCAGCTGCCCCTCCTCAGCTTGTTGTTCCCATTTTCGTTGTCCCTCTTCAGTTGGAGTTTTTCAGCTCAGACGCTTCTCCTCCTCCTCCTGCTTCTCCTTCTTATTGTTGTTGCATTGTAGTCGTCCTTCTCCTCCTTGTCCTACGGTTCCGCTTATGATTAAGAAACCTCCCCCCGAAAAGCTGGCCCAGCGTTTCTTAACCAACTTGCTGGACGGCTGGCTCAGTTTCTGAAGACTACACGTAAGATTGACCCTTCGCCGGAGTGACCTTTGGTGCTGACCCAAAGGGTGTCGGGAGATTTTCTTTATGACCTCGCGTCAGCACCCGCATCGCGTGATTACGCTCGCATCTGAACGCGCCAGGTTTGGGCCCACCCCTTGCAATCGACGCGCCGAATCCTACAGCTTGCATTGGTTACTCAAGGGGGAGCCGGTCGACCAGACGGCGCGTTTTCTGGCCCATCACCAGTCCCGAATCCCAGCCCGAATCCCAAAACGTCTGGCTTGAACATCTTTGGATATCTTTGAATATCTTTGAATATGTTTTTTTTCGGACCAATGGGGATCCTAACTACTTAAAGTTATCCAAACATATTCAAACATATTCTGGGCTCTCGGATGGGGCCGGTTTTGGGCATGGCGCCGGGCCTGGTCAGACGTCATCGCGATGCAGCCCGGCAGTGCCAGACCTCATCGCGGTGGCCCCCGGCAGCGTCTGCTTTTCGCAGGCCCTTCGAAGTGCCATTCTGGGCGCTCGGATTCAATCGGCGGAATTCCGCGGTTGCCCGCTGGAGCAAAAAATCTTTCGAGTGGCGCCCCGCCGATCGTTGATGCGCCGCGGCAACGCCGGCTTGCTCGATTGCGTTGGGCCCCCACGGGCGCCCCTGAAGCCGCGCACCAAAGGCCACTCTAGCCTAGGGTCACTCACTCCTACGTGTAGTCGTAGTGTACGTTTCTGGCTCCAAAGGCTGGCCCAGCGTTTCCTTAAAAAACTTCTAAAAAAACTGGCCCAGTTTTCTTTATTTGATGATTTTCTTAATCATACTGTTGACTGTGTTCATGCCCCTCGTTTTGGTTCCTCCTCCTCCCCATCATCATTATCCTACTTCTCCACCCCTGTCCTTATGCTTAACCCTCAGTCGCGCCCCCAAACGTATCAGTAGGTCGGGCCGGGCGTTTCGCTTTAGCCTTTCTCGCCGCTTATGACCCTGAAGCTTGAGATTTGTAGCCGGCTCACAGATGGAGGGCGGGTCCTTTTCAAAATGTGGCTCTCGCCTTAGCGCCTTGCACATTCGTCTGAAAGTTCGCAACAGCTTTACGGATGGAGGGCTGGCGGTTTTCAAGTGTGGTTCTCGACCTAACGCGTCGCGAATTCGCTGTAAACATGTGCAGCAGCTTGATTGATGGAAAGTGGTTATTTTGCAACTGTGGCTCTAATTGTAGTGCCGCATACATTCGTCCTCAAGGCTTGCCTTACCTTCAAGGATTCGTATGGTCGAAGTCTCAGAAATTCTGTTCTGGCGCGATTCAGGACTGTCAGGACGCCCATGTAACGCGGATTCGCGGAGCCGAAAACCCAGGAAATGTGTTCCGACGCGGTTTAGGGTTGTCAGGACGCAGCAGTAACATTGATTCGTTGCGTTGACGTCCCAGCAACGCTGCTTCGGCACGATTGCGGATTCTCAGTCGGTTGTCTTCTCATAGGCCCCCTTCACGCAATGAAAACACATGCCTTTAAGGAGCCATGAAGAGGGAGCTTGGAGGGAGGGGTTCTTGCAACATCGTCGATGCGACGTGGGTTTACACTGGTCCTCCTCCTCCTCCTCTTCCTCCTCCTCCTCCTCCCTCTCGTCCTGCTCCTCTGTCTCCTGCTCCTCCTCCTCCTCCTCCTCCTCCTCCTCCTCCTCCTCCTCCTCCTCCTCCTTCTCCCCAGAGCCAGTCGCGAAAGCCGATTGGCATTTCCTGTTCATCCTGCCAGGGGTCTGGGCCGATGCAGGAGAGTCCCAACCTGCAGGTTGGTGAGTAGGAGGCTTTGCTGGCTTCGGAGCTGGGGTCAGGAAGTTCAAGGGGGAGGGATCAAGAGCGAGCGCAGGCCACCTGAGAAGCTGGCATTTGGTGGTCTGTCCAGCAGGAAGCCCTGAAACTCAACTGGCCTCGCAGCCAGCACAGCAGTCTCCTGGAGGGACCCGGGCGAAGCCCTGGACTGCAGCCCCCCCTTCACAGGCACTGAAGCAGTCGCATCCCTGTGGGTGACGGTCCCTCCCTCCTTCTTCCCTGTGGGTGACGGTCTCCTCCCTCTAGAGAGGGAGGAGAGGAGAGGAGGAGGAGGAGGAGGAGGAGGAGGAGGAGGAGGAGGATGGGGAGGAGGGGGAGGAGGAGGAGGGGTGAGAGAGGGGAGGAGGAGAGTAGGAGGAGGTGGGCAAGCTTCCCCTGACTCCCTTGGGGCAAGTCCGGTTGGGACGAAATCAGATTCGGCAGCGCCATCGGCACGAGTCCTTAGGGACAGTTGCTGGGGGGGCCGGTGCCGCCACCGCTCTCCAGACATCCCCGCGTAGCGAATGATCTCCTCCTCCTCCTCCTCCTCCTCCTCCTCCTCCTCCCCTCCTCCTCCTCCTCCCGCTCCTCATCCCCCTGCTCCTCCTCATTCCCCTCCTCCTCCTCCTCCTCCTCCTCATCCTCCTCCTCCTCCTCCTCCTCCTCTTTGCGGCGAGCGAGGGGGGGAAGTGACGAGGAGAGGGCCCTCTCAGAAGGCTGCGAGGCTTCTCAGAAGCCCTCCGGCCTTCTGAGAAGTGGTCTGCGTCTTCGGGAAAGGCTTAGAGGCTTAGAACACTGTCCAGAAGGCTTGGGTACTTCTGAGCCCTCTGAGAAGGCGGTCTCTTTCGATGACGATGACGATGACGATGCTTGTTGAATGCTCAACGCGCTCTGCCCTCGTGACTATGGTATCGGGCTCGCCCAGCGCTTTGGCGAAGCTGAGCTGCAGACTGCAGCGCACGCCAGCTGAGGACCGTTTTCAAAGACCCTTCGAAAAAATCGAGGATTGTGGATCGAGGATCTGACTTCTCCCCGGGCTCGCCGCAGGTCCTCCTACTCCCCAGGTCCCCCGATATGTTTGGACCTCCTCCCAGGGGAAGTTTTGCGTCCTCGAAGACTGGGCGGAGCGCGAAGTTCGCGAGGATTCGTTGCGTGCGCACGCGACGGGTCTCTGGCGGCAATCGCCCCTGGGCCCCAGCAGCAAAACTCATCAGTGTGGCCACCGATTGCCGCCGCTGGGATCTGACAAAACTGCGCACACCAAATGTGCACAACTGCATCTGCGGCCACAGAGCTCCCGACCACTTCCCGGGGGAAGTCTTGCGTCCCAGATCCATCCTTTTTTTGTGGCATCTTCGAGCCCAGTCAGAACAGGGCGCAGCCGGACTTGCACAGAGGAGGAAAGGAGGAGAGGAGGAGGAGGAGGAGGAGGAGGAGGAGGAGGATTATGAAAGAGGAGGAGGAGGAGGAGAGGATGAGGAGAGAGATCCTCCTCCTTAGGGCCCCAGGGGCCCGAGGACGGGCCCCCTGGAGGCCGCCTCGAAGGGAGGGCACACGCCGCGGCGGGGAAGAATGCACGTCCGCCCCGCAAGTTTTCAGAGCCTTCACTCGCATCCCTCCTCCTCCTCCTCCTCACCGTCCTCCTCCTCCCTCCTTCCTCCTCCTCATCCCCCTCCTCCTCCTCCTCCACCTTCCTCCACCTCCTCCTCTTCCTCCTCCTCCTCCTCCTCCGCCTCCTCCTCCTCCTCCCCCCCCTCCTCACCCTCCTTACTTGCTGCCCCGGTTCCTCCCCGGAGGTCCGACGAGAAGAGACAAAAGGTTTGGGGCAGCGGAACAAATCGCGACCCGAGCCCCCAGATTCCCATCCTTCCGAGCCACTTCTCAAGCCAGATCGATCCGTGCTGGCCCCGGAGCCCGACGCTGGGCGGGCTTGCCAGGCGTGAAGAATCTGCGGCGCCCAGATCTCAGTGTCCCCCGCCCGCGCCGGAGGACCTCCTCAGCTCCTCCACCCCGGGCGCCGTGGACCAGACCTATTCCTTCCTCCAGTCCAGCGGCACCTCCGCGCTGCGCACGCGCGCGGACCTTGCGGGCGTCGAGGCGTCTCGCTACCTGGGGCAGCAGGGGGAGGGGGAGGAAAGAGCCTCATTGTCCTCCTCCTCCTCCTCCTCCTTCTCCTCCTCCTGTTCCTCTGCCTTCTCCTCCTCGTCCTCCTCCCCCTCCTTTTCCTCCATTTCCTCCTCCTCCTCCTCCTCCTCCTTTTCCTCCTCCTCCTCCTCCTCCTCCTCCTCCTCCTCCTCTTCCTTCTCTCCTCCTACGCCTCCCCCTTCTCCTCCGCCTCCACCTCCTCCTCCTATTGCTCCTCCTCCTCCGAGGAGGAGGAGGAGGAAAACGAGGAGGAGGAGAGCGGTGAGACGGGAGGGCAGAGAGTGGGGGATGTTGGGGAGGAGGGAGGAGGGTGGCGGGGGACGGGCTTGGGGAGAAGGGAGGACAAGGGTGAGGGGAGGTATATGCGAGAGGAGGAGGAGGAGGAGGAGGAGGAGGAGGAGGACGAGGCAGGAGGAGGAGGAGGAGGGATGAGGGAGGAGAGGGAAGGGAGAAGGGAGAAGGGAGGAGGGATGATGATGAGGAGGAGAAGGCGGAGCAGGAGGAGGAGAAGGCGGAGCAGGAGGAGGAGGAGGAGCAGGAGGAGGAAGAGGAGGGAGTAGGAGGAGGATGAGGGGGGAGTGAGGAAGGGCATGGGGGGGGGAGGCGGAGGAGGAGGAGGAGATGGAGAAGGAGGAGGAGGAGGAGAAGGAGGAGGAGGAGGAGGAGGAGGAAGGGCAATAATGGAACATAGAAATCATATGGGATGATGGTGATGTTGATGATGCTGCTGCTGCTGATGTTGCTGCTGCTGATGATGATGCTGACGATAACGATAACGATAACGATAACGATGATGATGATGATGATGATGATGATGATGATGATGATGATGATGATGATGATGATGATGATGATGATGATGATGATGATGATGATGATGACGATGACGATGACGATGATGATGATGATGATGATGATGATGATGATGACGATGTTGTTGATGATTATGATGACGATCATGATGATGCTGATGCTGATGCTGAGGATGATGATTATGACGATAACGATGGCGATGGTGATGATGATCATGATGGTGATGATGATGATGTTGATGATGGTGATGTTGATGATTGTGATGGTGATGGTGATGGTAATGGTAATCGTGATGGTGATGGTGATGATGATTATGATTAGTGTGATGACCATGATGCTGATGATGATGA